ACGCTAGCTTTTATCAAAGAAAAAAAAAATGGAGAAAAGTTATGATTCATATTATAACCCACCTTCACCTCCACAGTATAATTCACAACCTGCCAATTTTCCTAATGCACAACCTTATGTATCTTATTTTAATTCAACCCAGCTGCAAACGGAAAACGCTGAAGTCCTGCAGTTGAAACAGGACACTAACAACCATTCGTTCATACCTCAAAATGATCCTTTAGCTACTACAAATGATCCTTCTGCTTCTACCCATTTTACTGATTTACGACAAAATGTTAGCAGTTCCTATGGTCCTTCGTCTACTCCTTTGAACGCGATGCTTTGCAACGACTTTTATGGATCTTTGTCTAATCCACCTTCATATGTAATGAACGATAATAATATTGTAAAATCTGATAATGAGACTCAGCAAAGTAATGCAAATGTGAAAATATCAAAGAATGCTACGAGGGGAAGAAAAAGAAAAAAAAAGAAAGGACTACAATTGAATGTGAATGATAACAATAAGGATAAAGTGAAAGTGAAAAAGGGTAATAATAATAATAATAATAATAATAATGTTAATAATGCTGCAAAGAAAAAAAAAAAAAAACTTAAAAAATTAAAACAAGAAGCCCTTGAACGAGAAACTTGGAGGTCACCAAAGCAAACTGAAAAACCTTGGCTTATTCATGATCCTAACGCTAATTATACAAGTGTAACCCAACGGTAATATTTTTATTAACTATTTAATCTTGGAAGGATATTTGATCATGTTCTGGTATCCTTTAATTTTACAGGCTACATTACGAAATTATCGAGTTGGTAAATTATCTTTTACCAACTGATATAGAACGTTTATTACGAGCTTTCGTCATTAAAAGAATTGATCTCGCCATCAAAGAAAAATTTCAAAAGGCGGAAGTTATGGTATTTGGAAGTGTCAACACTGGACTTTATCTTCCGACAAGTGATATAGACATAGCCTGTTTTATTCACGCTGAGCCTAATAGTGCTGCGTTTACGATTGTAAAACTCTTTGAACCCCTAAATATTTGTGTTGGTAAACCTACGCTGGTTTACTCAAATAAAGTATTTTTTTTTTTAAAAAAAAAGATATTCATATATGTGCAGTATAATTTATTCGTTTATATATATATATATATATAATTCATATGTATTAATTTAATTTTTTTAGGTTCCGGTCATAAAATTTCAGGAGTACTATACAAAGTTCAATGTAGATATTTGCATTAACCAAATGAGTGGTTACTATTCTGCGGTTGCAATACGACGATATATGGAACGATGGCCATCATTAGGTACTTTGGTCATCGCCGCAAAGTGCTTCTTAACACATCACAAGCTTGATTGTACTGCATCAGGTGGAATGAGTGGTTACACCCTTTTTTGTTTAATGTTGAATTTCCTCCAGGTAAAATTATGAAGTTTATTCATAACATCCTTACGTTAAATTTCTTATGTTAAATTTCTTATGTTAAATTTCTAATAGTTACACCCTGAAATTCAAACTGGGAGAATCATTCCTGAGGACGAAAACCTTGGGGTATTACTTATTGAGTTTTTCGAACTTTATGGCGTCGATTTCAATTATAAACAACTCGCTATTCGAGTTGAAAGAGATAATGAACTTGGTGTGGACCTAGGATATTGTAAGAAAGTAAGTTGTTGAGTGTGAATTGCTTTAATTCTTAAAATATTTTATTAATTGCTTTTTTTTCTTCAACTTGTAGGAAAATGAATCTTGGGCTACAAAATGTCCAGAGAATTTGTGTATTCAGGATCCTATACAAAAATGTAATCTGTAATTCTTTCTTTCGCCTAAGTTACTGTATAATAACGACTAATAGTATTTATCATTTTTCTTCCTATATAGCAAATGATATAGCTAAAGCTACAACAATAATGCCAAAAATTCGTGAACATTTCGAACGAGCATTTAATAATCTCGTCAATCGTGTTTGCACTCTTGAACGGGATTTGTCAAGAAATGGTAATATAATCATGGGTTTACATAAACAATCCATTTTATCATCCATTTTATTCATTCGACAAGAAATCGTTAAGCGTAGGCGTAAACTTCATAACGATTTTAGTCATGGTAAACAACTTGGACGAGCAGTCGCACCATTCGGACCTGGTATCGCAGACTCTTTACATCTTCCAAGTTTAGATCATATTTGGCGAGAATTTCGTGATGAAATTGAAGACATTAATATAAGTATAATTAAAAAACAACCTTCTAATGTCAATGATCAACTGAATTATCTTATATCTTTACGAGCCAAAGTGGATTTACAAATTAAAAGGACATTAATTAATCATCGATCCAATTCGGATATGGATTTATCAGATCCTGGTTCTCCTTCCATTAACATATATGGTAAATCAGTTGAATCTTCAAATAATGAAGGTAGAGGCAATGGTCCGAACAAAGGATGTGGAGTACAGTAAAATAATGGGTATGTAAATTTCTCATATTATGTTAATCCGTTGGGACTATAGTATTTAATATATAATTGTAATTAATAGGTTAGAAGCTCCGAGCTCACTTTTTTTCTACTTACATGCAATATCATTTGTAAATTTAATTACTGTATAAAATCTGTAATAATAATATCTCTTGTATAATAATCAGCGACCCGTTCTATTATCTCGGCTATTCAAAAGAGATAAGATCGGGTATACGAAGATTAGAATACATAATATATTTTAATTTATGGATTTTTCAGTAACTTATGAGACTGCAATTGCAAAAAGAACGGGTAAAGTCAGGAAGGGAGTTGGCTGCAGCATAGTGAGATAATAAATATTGTGTGTAAATACTTTGTAAATGCAGAAATTGGTATTTCCCGTTTTAATAAAGAATAAATTTTCTTTATTGTTGTAAATATAAATAATTCACAACCATATAATAAAACATTCTCATTTATAGATTTTATTTGAATCATAATTTTTATAAAGTTAAAAAGTTAAATATATTTATTTATTCGAATATTTGAATACTTTTGTTCGTGAAAAATAATTATAAGTTTAATTTGAAATATTCGCACAGAATATGAATATCATTAAAATGCGAAGACAACTACGTAAACTAGAATAAGGTTATTACACTGAAAATGTCAGCAAACGTTTATCACATTTAAATGTTATGTACTAAGTTTTACTGATGTAATTGCAGAAACGAACAAAATAAGTCATTATTATTTTCGTATCGTTGTTGTAGTCTCATGTATTATAATATCTATGATGATAATAATAAAAACGAGTTTTATTTATTAGCGAAATAGTAACAATGTTGATACAGCCCGGTCCTCAGGATGTTACATATGCGAATCTTGTAAATATAGTATTTGCCTTACGTTTTTGGTAGTGACGTTTTTGTGGCGCAGTAATTTATGCGTGGCATATTCGCTGATCTGAATGACGCAAAGACACAATGCTAATCCTTTAGGATGCGGCAATACTCACCCTAAACTATATATATATTATATACACTTATTACTGTTAAATTATATTTATCGTTGTAAACCTAATCCAATTATTTGCTTTTACACAAAACTGTGGAGGTGAAGGTGGGTTATAATATGAATCATAACTTTTCTCCATTTTTTTTTTCTTTGATAAAAGCTAGCGT